GATTACGATCAATTTATATACATTAGGTGAAAGAAAAGAAAAAGGAAACTAATCTTCTAAGTTTGGAAGTAAATTGTCCTACCAAAAATTACAAGATTACAATCTCTAATTAATTCCAATTACCATAAATGCTTCCTTACTATATTTGGTCCTTTCTACACTCCCCTTCAAGTTGAACTGTAGATGTTAATCATGTTCAACTAACTGATATTTGGACAATCCTTTTGTGAATATATTTACCGTTTGTTCTTTTGTAGGAGTATATATCATTCAAATAATCCTGTTGTCCACCTTTTCTTTGATGAAATGCCTGTCCACTTCTACATGTTTAGTTCTATCATGTTGTACTGGGTTGAGAGAAATGTTAATAGATGCTTTGTTATCACAATAGAGTTTGATTGGAAGTTCTACTCCAACTTTCAATTCTTCCAAGAGTTTCTTTATCCAAAGTCCTTCACATATTCCTTGTGCAACAGCTCTGAATTCAACCTGATATGATCCAGGAGTCGAGCCCAACGAAGGCAAGTGCAAGACGAGACCCGTTGATAGTCGATGGCGGACCAATGACGCGATCAAGGGCAAAGCAAGTGAAACAAGCGATGGAATTGCTCTTTCAAGAAACCATTGATGGAACCATGTTCGGGACTTAAAATGGAGCAACTTTCATGTTCAGGTCGAAGGCCGAATCAATTTGGATCAATTTGTTATCAAGCGACAAAAGCGGAGGCTGAAAACAACACCATGCAGCCGCACAGACAAAACCACATGCGGCCACACACATGCATACCGAAAACCAAAAGTGCAATTTCAGTTGAACCATGCGCCGCATGGATTTACACCATGCGGCCGCACAAGCAAAAATTTTGGCGAATTTTTCAATTTTGGCAATTTTTCATATTTTGTTAGATTTTGATTCTTTTCCATACTTTGGAGATTATACTCGACTTTTGCACGATTTTTACCTAGTTTTTAGGTTTAGTATAAATAGGAGTTTCCATTCAATTGTTAAAAACCTTTTGACATTATTGATATTGAATTAAAGTGAGGCGTATTATCTTCTCTTCATCATTCTTCATTGAACAATTTCAAACTTATCAAGTGATCACTTGTGGCGTTCAAACAACCAGATTTAATTCTTGGATTACGTAATCAAGGGGTCTTTCAAGCGTCGTTCTTGTTGGGTTTTTTGGTTCGACCTTCTTTGGGTTAATCCTAAACTCTTGGATTAAATTGGCTTTCTTGGGTTCGTCAATCTCGTTATACGTTTCGTAATCAACGTTGCTACGGGGTTCGCATCACAACCTTAGCACTGCTTCTTGCTAACACATTTTGTTTCTTACTTCTCCAAGTTGTCATATTTCCCCATACAAAGGTGCAGTAGCTGGAGGTATACCTTTTATCTTCTGTTGATCCAGCCCAATCTGCATCTATGAATATTTCTAATCCTTTACTCTTATTTTTCCCGAAGAATAGACCTTTTCCAAGGGTTCCCTTTAGATATCTAAGAATTTTATAAATTGCTTCTAGATGAATCTCTTTGGCAGCGTGCATATGTTGACTGACCATACTGACTGCGAAAGCAATATCAAGTCTGTGTGAGAGATAGATCAATTTTCCAACTAGTCTTTGATATCTGTCCATTTCCACGGGTTTTTCGGTGCCCTTTGTGACTTTCCCTGGCTCAATAGGTGTATCACTTGGTTTGCATCCCAACATGCCTATTTTAGCCAACAAGTCAAGAATGTATTTTTGTTGGGAAACGCTGATACCTTTCTTTGATCTTGCAATCTCCATTCCCAAGAAGTATCGCATTTGCCCAAAGTCTTTTACCTCAAATTTAGTTGCTAGGTACTTCTTTAGTCTTTCCATTTCAGCTATGTTATCCCCTGTCAAAATAATATCATCTATATACACAATAAGGATGGTCTTTGCTCTTTCCCTGGATTGATGATAGAACATGGTATGATCTAACTGCCTTTGTTGATATCCCTGAGTTTTCAATACCTTTGCAAATCTATCGAACCACGCTCTGAGTGGCTGTTTAAGCCCATATAAAGATTTCCTGAGTTTACATACTCGATTTTCCTCATTTGACTTGTTGAAGCCCGGTGGTATTGTCATGAATACTTCTTCTTCTAGTTCCCCATTGAGAAATGCGTTCTTAATGTCCAACTCCTGAAATGGCCGACCTAGGTTTACTGCTAATGACAGAAGAACTCGAATTGTATTTAGTTTTGCCATCGGTGCGAATGTTTCTGTATAGTCAATGCCATAGGTTTAAGTATACCCTTTGGCAACCAAACGAGCCTTGTAGTGTTCAATCGTCCTATCTGCCTTGTACTTCACGTTAAAAACCGATTTGCACCCTACAGGTTTCTTTCCTCTTGACAGGTTTACCACTTCCCAAGTTTCCTTTTTCTTTAAGGCTTTCATTTCCTTCATCACTGCCTTTCTCCATTTGGGTGATTCCAAGGCTTCTTGAATATTCCTTGGAATTTCTGTTTCATCAAGGTTAGCAGTAAAAGCACGAAATTCTGCAGATAGAGCATTATAAGACATAAATTTTGAGATAGGATGTAGAGTACATGACCGGGTTTGTTTTTTGAGAGCAATAGGTAGATCATCACTTGGATCGGACGGATTTACATCAGTTCCTCTCACCGGTTCGGACTCTTTGGGTGCTTCAAGCATGAGAGTTTCCTTACACTTCGATTTAGGCCTTCTTGAGTACACTAGGATCTCTTTATCACTTTGTTTTCCTTTATCTCCCCCTGAATTCAAGTTTTCTTCTGTATATGGCACCTTAGAAGGGTTAGGGAATGTGAGGTCAGTTGGGGAAAGGTTAAAGTCCAGGAACTCTTTATTTGAGAACCGATCTTCACTCGAGTTCTCCCCTAGAAGAGAAGGTTTCGAGAAGTAAGGTGTGTTTCCGAAAAAGCTGACATCAAGGCTAACTACGAATCTTTTTCCAGATGGGTCATAGCATTTGTACCCTTTTTGAACAGGTGAGTACCCAATAAACACACATTTGATAGTGCGTGGTTCAAGTTTGTTCCGATATTAGGAGTGAATGTGTACAAATGCAGTACTACCAAATACTTTTAGAGATAGGTTTAAACTAAGGTGGGAATAGGGGAAGTATTTTTGAAGCCTTTGTAAGGGAGAGTCGAAGGAGAGCGTCTTACTAGGCAGCCGGTTAATTAGATAGGTAGATGTTAAAATGGAATCCCCCTAGAATATTTTTTGGCATGTTCATAGTAAATATTAAGGCATGAACTATTTCTCGTATGTAACTATTTTTGCGTTCAGTAATCCCATTTGTTGGGGGGTATGGACGCATGAGCTTTGATGGACTATTCCATGTTTTTTTAGGTAATCTTGCAAAGTAGAATTGAAATATTCCGTGCCATTATCAGTACGGAGAATTTGAAGTTGTGTTTGAAATTGCGTCAATTAGAGGTGGGCAAAACCTGACCAAACCTGCTCAAACCGCCCAAACCGACCCAGTTGGGTCGATTTTTTTGGTTGTTTTTAAGTGGGTTCGGTTTTTGGACTGCGTAGGTGGGTCGGGTTAGGTCGGGTTGTGGGTTAACTCATAAAAACCAACCCAACCCACCTATTTAGAGAAAAAAGGGGAAAGAGAAATAAATTGCCTAAACGTAAAATCGCTATTTTTAAGATTTAGAGTTTCATAAAATTATAACAAAAATCCCATTATAATTTCTAATAGACAAATTTTTATATCGAAGTTCTCAAATCACAATGTATAACTCAAGACTTCGATTGGGTCTTCTCGTAATCTCTATCTCTTAGGATATTTAATTCTTGTACTGGTTTACAAAAGTATCTTGTAGAATGGTTATATGAACTATGGACATAAATGTTGAAGAAAAAATAAATGTTAAGCTTCTATATAGAGGCTTGATCTAATTTCTGAATAAATCGATTTCTCACATTTCAAATAAGCTTGTGAAGCATAATTTGCTTGTTATTGCCTAAAACTATTGAAGATTTGAGATAAATAATAATTAAGAAGTTAAATTTGAAAGAAGAAAAAAAAATTGGCTACCAGTAGAACCACCTGTCTTACTTTTTGGTTTGGCTTCAATTTAATAAGTATCCTTGTCTGTTGTGCAAACTTTTGTTAATCTAGGTTTGACGATGAGCCTATAGGTCCGAAACGGGAACTTGAAGAGGGATGCAAAGCATCATGCATGCGACCACTCAAAGAATATCAGGTGATTTTGACTGAATGAAAATAAACCTTCCTTTTTTGTTTTTTCTAATTTAATATCTTCTTCTCCATTTTTCAAGTTTCCTGCCTTTTGTGTTCTTTTCACATGATACTTAGTATTGCTAAAGCCTAAATGAAATGTTCTATGCATTTTACATTTTTGAGTTTTTTGTTCAGTCTTCTTTATGTTTAATTATATGATAATAAATTACAATTTGTCTAACCCGACCCGACCGACACTTGATTGGGTTGGGTTGGGTTTCAACATTTACTTAGGTTGGGTTGGTTTGATTTTAGATCAAACCGATCGTGTTGGGTTGGGGCAAAAATCGACCCAACCTAACCCACGCCCACCACTAGTGTCAATATCATGGAATGGAAGTTCATGAATACAAATCTAACATCGATTTTTTCTTTCAATAAATAAACCCAACATACCCAAGTCTGGTCATCAATAAATGTAACAAACCACTTTGTTTAGGTACGATTAGGAGTGCGGGATGGTCCCCATAGATCACTATAAATCATAGCAAATGGTTTAGATGGTTTGTACTCGCATTTTGGAAAAGATGTACACTGATGCTTTGCAAATTCACAATTTTCGCATTGAAAGTCAATAGGTGTTTTTATTCATGAAAAATGAAAGACAAACATTTTTTAAATATTGCAAGCTAGGGTGACCCATTCTATTGTGCCATAACAAGATTTCACTATCCTTCGAGGTAGATGAAGAATTACAACTTGAAATTTGACCTAGTGTACTCACATAAGCTTCGTCGAAGTAGTACAGTCCTTCACATTCCTTAGCACTGCCCATCGTCTTCCCCGATGAAAGGTCCTGAAAGACACAATATGATGGAAAGAAATTAGCAGAACAATTGGATTTTTTTGTTAATTGACTAACAAATAACAAGTTACACGACAAATTTGGAACATGAAGGACTGAATCCAATGTTAGCGAATTAGATATTTGAATATTCCCTTTTCCTGTAACAGATGAGAGCGAGCCATCTACAATTTTAACTCGAATGTTACCAGGGCAAGTAGAGTATGAAGAGAATAGGTGATACGAGTCCATCATGTGATCGAATGCACTAGAGTCAATGATCCCAGCTTTTTTATATCGTGAAGTATTTAATGCTCTAAGAATGGTACCTTAGTGGGCTAGTGAGCTAGAGGGACCTTTAGGGAAAGACTGATCGGATGTTTGAAATTTTGAGAACATTTGATAGAGTTGCTCCAGTTGCTCGGGATTAAATGCACTACCTGAGCCTGGATTTTTTTTTATTTCAACTTGATAACCCCGGCTCGTTGTGGTTTGTCTTGATTTCCATTCATTGGGTTTCCCATTAATTTCCCAACATGTGTCTATTTTATGGCCCGACCTGCGACAATGCTCACACCAACGATGACCCCTTTGTTTTTGGGTCAACCCATTTATAGATCCCTTTGAAAAACCCGAAATTCCACTTCCAATTGAATGTCCATTAATATATTCAGCTTCTGGCCTAACTGTCGGCCCAATTACCTTACCACGTCCAGGCCCATAAATTGTACCATATGGAGGTCCAGTCTTCTTTCCAGCCAAAGCCTCCAGAGGCCTCCTTCAACATTACCTGCCGGCGAGCCTCCTCACGATGCATCTCTGCGAACACCTCACGAGTGGACGGCAGTAGACGACGACCTAGGATTCGACCTCTGACTTCATCTAGTTCTCAATTCAGACCTACAAGAAATTCATAGACTCGTTCATTTTCCTGCTTCTTTTTGTATAAAACAATATCATCAGGACACTTCCATTCCTCTTCACTGCTTAGGGCGAGATCTTGCCAAAGAGATGTCATTTTCATGAAGTATTCGGTGACATCCCGTGTCCCCTGTTTTGTCTGCCATAAGCGAGTTTTCAATTCAAAAATTTGCGATGCATTACCAGCGTCTGAGTAGGTGTCTTTCACGGCTTCCCATACATCTTTTGCTGTCGAAAGGAATAGGTAGGCTTTTCCTATAGAAGGTTTCATAGAGTTCACAAGCTAGGCAATTACCAAGGAATTTTCAGAGTTGCAACGTTGCAGCTGGATGGTGTTTATCGGTTTCTTCGTTTTTCTGATACATGAATCACTAATTTTATCGACTGGGCCCATTCGCGATAGTTTTTTTCATTCAATTTTTTGACAGTGAGTTGGAACGATGAATTCTCAAATGAGTTGTGACCAATTGAGGAATTAACCTCTGTTTCGGTATCTGACATCGTAGATGCCGGACTGTTAGCGGGAAATTCCGCCATGGTTTACTAGCTCAATACCATGAAGAAGATGCACACATGAGAGGAAATTTGCAGTTTTTCTTATATTCACAACATTGATTACAATTGATTTATATACATAAGGTGAAGGAAGAGAAGAAGGAAACTAATCTTCTAAGTTTGGAAGTAAATTGTCCTACCAAAAATTACAAGATTACAATCTCTAATTAATTCCGATTACTATAACTTCTTCCTTACTATATTCGGTCCTTTCTACATTTCTGAGTGCCTTAAGCACTTCACAAAATAAAACCCCTTGCATTATTGTCTCTGATGCATCCGATCACATGACGGACTCAAACCACTTGTTCTCATCATACTCAACTTGTGCCGAAAATATTAAGGTGAAAATTGCAGATGGCTCACTCTCTTCTGTTGCCCAAAAAAAAAAAAAAGAGCATTCAAATATCTAAGTTCCTAATATTAGAACCTGTCCTCCACATCCCAAATTTATCCTGTAATTTGATTAGTCAGCTAACCAAAAATTCTAATTGTGCTACTAAGTTCTTTCCATCTTATTGTATCTTTCAGGACCTTTCATCGGGGAAGACTATTGGCAGTGCTTAAGAGTGCGAAGGAATGTACTACTTTGAGAAAGCTGATGTGAGTATACTAGGTCAACTTACAGGTTATAATTTTGCATCTGTCTCTAGAGATAGTGATAATTTGTTATGGCACTATAAAATGGGTTATCCTAGGCTTTCATACTTAAAATGTGTACTTCCTTCACAGTTCTTGAATAAAACATCGATTGAACTTCAATATGAGAGTTGTGAAATTGTAAAACATGAGCTTACATCTTTCCCACATTCCACGTACAAACCATCTACACCATTCGCTATGATTCACAGTGATTTATGGGGACCTTCTTGCATTCCCAACTGTACCCAAACAAAATGGTTCGTCACATTTATTATGTCTCAACAATCCCCAACAACATGGAATTGTTGAAGGGAAAAACAGACACCTACTCGAGATTGCTTTGTGCCTTAATATTTACAAGAAACATGCCTAAAACATTTTGGGGAGATGCAATCTTAATAGCTAGATATCTTATCAATCGTATACCTAGTCGTACCCTCTCTTTTGACTCACCTATACAAAGATTCCAAAAATACTTTCCTACTTCTTGTCTTAATTCAAATCTACTCCTAAAAGTATTTGTACACATTCATCATTAGAAAAAGCTTGAACCACATGCAATCAAATGTGTGCTCATTGGATAATCACCCACTCAAAAAGGCTATAAATACCATGACCACACCACCAAAAAAAAAAAAAAAAGTCTTTGTTAGTCTAGATGTGACATTCTTCGAAAAATACCTTCCAAAAACCTTCTCTTCAAGGAGAGAATTTGAGTGAAGATTAGTTCTTAGATCGAAAGTTCTTGGAATTTAATCTTTTCCCACATGACTTAAATATAGAACCATTCACCCTCTTACTATCTAATGTACCATATACAGAAACCCACTTGAATTTAGGGGGAGATGTTGGAGAAAAAACATAATGAGATTCTAGTTTACTCGAGGAATTCTAAATCAAAGTATAAGGAAACCCTCACACCTGAGGTGCTAAGAGAGTTGAAACCTATGATGAGACGTGATGAGAAAACTTCCAATGAATCCATACCTCCAGAAAATGATCTACCCATTGCTCTCAGGTGAAACTCGGTCAAATACTCTTCACCCTATTTCAAAATTCGTATCTTATAATTCTCTATCTATAGGATTTCGTGCTTTTGTACCTACACCTTGATAAAACAAAAATTCAAAAAATATTGAAAAGGCCCTAGGATCCCCTAAATGGAAAGAGGCAATAGTGAAGAAAATGAGAGCTTTAAAGGAAAAATGAAACTTGAGAAGTGGTAAACCTACCAAAAGGGAAAACACCTGTAGGTTGCAAATGGATTTTCAATGTGAAGTACAAAATCGATGGGACAATAGAACGCTAAAAGGCTCATCTAGTTGCCAAAGGGTATACACAAACATGTGGCATTAACTATACAGAAACATTCACACCAGTAGCAAAATTAAATACAATACGAGTTCCCTTATCCTTAGCTGTGAATCTGAACTGGCCCTTTCAACAGCTGGACATTAAGAACACATTTTTGAATGGAGAACTGGAAGAAGAAATTTACATGACCATACCACCGAGCTTCAATGAGAGAAATGAGGACAATCAAGTGTGTAAACTGAGAAAATCTTTATATGGCTCAAAACAATCACCAAGACCATGATTCAATAGATTTGCAAAAGTTTTGAACACTCAAGGCTATCAGCAGTCCGATCATACCATGTTCTCCTAACAATCTAGAGATAGAGCAAAGACCATCCTAATTGTATATGTTGATGATATGATTCTCACCGGGGACAATATAGTTGAGATGGAAAGACTAAAGAAGTGCTTGGCCACCAAATTTGAAGTAAAAGAACTAAGACAAATGCGATTTTTTTTGGGGGATGCAAATTCAAAGATCAAAGAAGGGTATTAGTATCTTAACGAAAATACATTCTTGATCTTTTGACTGAAACTAGCATGCTAGAACGCAAATCAAGTGACACACTTATTAAGACTGGAAGCATAACAAATAACACAGGAAACTCGATGGAAATTGATAGATACCAAAGATTAGTTGGTGTGTTGATCTATTTCTCACACACTAGACCTGACATCACTTTCGCGGTCAGCTTAGTAAGTAAACATATGCACTCTCCAAAAGAGGCTCACCCGGAAGCAGTATACAAAATCCTTATGCACCTCAGGGAAAGGATTACTCAACAAGAAGCTGAACATGATCAACATCTACAATTCAACTTGACGAGAAGTATACGAAACTAAGGATGGAAAGAAGCCAGGAATGAAAATTATAATTAGTTAGAGATTGTGTTTGTTAGGTTAATTGGTAGGTTTATTTATTTCCTAACTTAACAGATTACTTTTCATTTTCTTCGTCGTATATAGCATAAATTGGCTGTAATAGGAGAGTTATTTTTTCATTGAGAAATACAGAACGATTTTTCTAATTTCAATTTCACATAGACAAAACTAAAGTTTTTAAGTTAACTATCACTAATCATTTCTGTCCATAAATTCTTTATATCATGAACTTATTTTTTCAGTAGGACCTGTTTGATGTAGATCTTTTGACAATAGATTTTGCAAAAAGTAATTTTTGTGAGAATGTGTGATTAAAGAAAATTTTATGGGTGTGCGCGCAAAATTATTTTGTTAGAAGAATTTGTGGTAGAAAATAAATTTTAAAAAAATTGTGCCAAATAGGGGCATAATATTTACATTTTAATTTTATTATTTTTTGAATTCTTTAATTTATAATTTTTGTATAATATAGTATTACCAATGAAATGTCTATTGTTAACATTTTTGTACAAACAAATGTTTTATCGGTTATATAAAAAATTAAAGTTAAGTCCATTAACATTTTCGATTCATTTTAGCTAAATATAATTTTACTCTACATAACAAACCATAAAACAATTATCTCATTTTAAAAAAGTTAATATAATGTTTTGTTCGAATTTTTTACTTTATTCAATTATATATAATATGTGCTCCACTATAATTTTTTCAAAAATAATTAAAGAGGATAATAGATGATTAACTATTAAATATATATTCTACGAATACACAAATAATAACAACAGTTCTTGGCTCCATTGGTAGTCTTTCCACATTTTAAAGTGAAGGCCATGAGATCGAGCCATTGATCCCTCAAGTATGCCAAAATAATTTTCCAAACCAGGCCAACCAGGTCACTGGTTCACCTGGATTTAACTAGTTCTTCACCAAGTGCAATCCGAATAACTAAGGGCACCTGTCTTGAAAAAGGGCCCGGCCAGTGGTTTGCCAACCCGACCAGTCGGTCAGCACCGGGTTTTATAACTATGACTCAAAACTCTTTTTCGTTTTGTTTGATCAATAAAGTTTTGACAAGGCACCAATTCAAATAACAGCACTCTTTCATGCACACAAAATGCTCAGATAAAATTTATTATTTAAAAGAAAACTCAGTTCCCATGACAAAAAAATAAATAAATAAAATAAAATAAAATAAAATATATATATATATATATATATAGGTTAATTTCACAAACGGTCACTGAACTTACAGAAAAATTACAAAACGGTCATTGAAATTTAAAACTTTCAGTAATGGTCACTTAAGTATTGGGACGCTTTCAAAAATGATCACTGAAGTTTAAAAATTTTTGAGCTACTTTTGCGACAATTTTTCGACCACTTCCGACCACCGATACCATCGGATTTTGATACCGTTGGAAAGCTTACAATGTCCTCTTCAATTACAACCAAAAATCTCCCCCAAACTCCAAAGGATTCAGCCGGAATAAACCCACAAAGTTGGCTAACTGAAAAGGAAAAAATCTGCCCAAATTTTCAGATTTTTGGTGGACTTTTGCGGCGATTTTTTGACAACTTCCGACCACCAAAATAGCCAAATTTTGATATTTTGGAAAGCCCACAATGTCCTCTTTAATTAGCATCCAAAATCTCTCCAAAACTCCAAAGGATTCGACTGGAATAAACTCACAAAATTGGCATCCCAGATTTTCGCCTTTTTGGGATGCCGATTTTGCGGGTTTATTCCGGCCGAATCCTTTGGAGTTTGGGGGAGATTTTGGATGGTAATTGAAGAGGATATTGTGGGCTTTCCAACGGTCTCAAAATCTGGCGGTCTTGGTGATCGAAAATCGCCGGAAAATTGCCGTAAAAGTCGCCCAAAAATCTGAAAATCTGGGCAGATTTTCAAATTTTTTGGGGCGACTTTTGCAGTGATTTTCCGGTCGAATTTCTAGGTGTTATGGAGAGATTTTGAGTGGTAATTGAAGAGGACGTTGTGAGCTTTCCAACGGTATCAAAATTCGATGGTATCGATAGTTGGAAGTAGCCGAAAAATTGTCGCAAATATAACAAAAAAAATAAAAAAAATGTTTTTCAACTTTAGTGACCGTTTCAGAAATTTTTTAAACTTCAGTGACCGTTTTTTAAAGCGTCCTAATACCTAAGTGACCGTTACTGAAAGTTTTAAACTTCAGTGACCGTTTTGTAATTTTTCTGTAAGTTCAGTGACCGTATGTGAAATTAACCCATATATATACACTACTGCAAATGCACCGAATTTATAGAAAAGATAAAAGACCAAAAGTCCTCGATGAGACCAGAAAGGTTGGTACCTGATGATTTACAATATTAGCAGATAACCGTTGAATTTCACGTTCTTCATGATCAGCGAAAAGCTTCGCCTTCAATCCTGCAGCAGCAAGACCAGCTTTGGCAGCATCTTTCACGCTTTCAGCAGATAATGATAAAGCCTCTGTATCCTGCTGACTCCAATGACTTTGTCCTCCAATCATATCTTCTGAGAATGTCATTCAAAGGAATTAAAAGAAGAAATGAAAAGAAGACTAAATAAGCCACAACATACCTTTTTAACAAAAATTGGTGTTTCCTCGTGAGGACTCCTCCCTCCCTTACAATTGTCCTTAGACAAGGCGGCCAAGGAAGCATGGGCACAGGCGGCAGCCACTCTTGGCCCCAATGCAGAGGTCAGAAAGGCGACCTAGAAATAACAACAAATAAGTATATATTAAACGTGGAGAAAATATGGCAGGAGCCAACTGAGAAGCCAGTATTTGAGGAAAAATTATGCAATGCTAAGTTAGAAACAAGGTATTTCAGTAAGAACGGCTAAGAGGTGGAAAAAGATAGGAGCACTTCACTTTGAATACGTATGCACAACGATGATGCAATTTAACTAGTAACGAGTAGATGTCAGTGTAAGAAATCTTTGACATTCTTTCCTACAGAAAGCACTAGCGGGAAGAGGAAATACAACCAAACCATACCACCATAACGCTGTCAGGGGATTGAAGGGACAAGGGAATATGTGCAAGTATAGAAGATAAAATCAAGCTAGAGCAGTCAAATAGTTAAGTTAAAATGAATGGTAGGTGAAATCTGATCTCACTCAAGTGAAACAACAAACCCACATTGACGCAGCGGAAGGTTATAGGAAAGATAAACAAATCTCACGAAGATTTAAAAAAAAAAAAAAAAAAAAAAAAAAAAAAAAAAAAAAAAAAAAAAAAAAAAAAAAAAATCCTCAACAAAATTTTTATTCTTTTTAATCAATGCGACCTCAAATGGCTTACAATGCTTTATATAGCGAAAATTCTAGGAAAATTCAGAAAAATTAAATAATAATAATAATAAAAGAAATCAAGATAATGACTAAAGCCCTGTTAGAACCACATTATTGTAAAAATGACAATGAAAAATATAGCCGTTATGGGTTCCACACAAGAGATAAAAAGTCAAATATGGTGACTCGATATGATGGATAACGGTCATATTTTTCATCTTAATGAGGAAATAATATAGCTCAAACAGGGCCTAAAATTAAGAATCCTAATCTTAAGGATTATCCTCCAACAAATGGAATTTAAATCCGACTTAAATTGATTGAGATATAACCAAAACAAAAATTACCAAAAAAGGGGGAAAAAATACCTAAACGAAGGAACTTGCCCAAAATTGGCCTTACTCAGGAGCGCTCCTGAATCTTGTTCATTGGCACGTTTCTAATCAAATTTGACTACAATTTCACAAAAAAAGACAACCCCAAAATTTCTCTAAAAATAAGAAAGTTACTTATTTCTGCTTGCGTTATTCCCATTTTTCTATAAAGTCTAATTCCTTCTACACATCATTTCCACTTCCTTGAGAAAAATTCACCTTCGAATTTGGCGGGAAAGTAACGTCATCATTAGAATTATCACCACAAAATGATACCAGATGCTTGGTATTAAAAACGTCGGTTGTACAAATGCGACTGAGCAGCTTCAACCGATATACATTGGAATTAATCTTCTGAATGATCTCCAATGGACTAATTTTTCTTGCGGCAAGCTTGGTGTATTCATGAGCTGGAATACGATCCTTTGTTAACACCGCCCAACCAAAGTCACCTAATCCAAGAATTCTATTGGACTTAATCCACCATGGAACTCAGGGATATCAACCTTAAGCCCTAATTCCCAGCACCTATTCTCCTCATGGCCAGCTCCTCTCCGTGGGACTGGCAGATCTATTGGATGATCCAGTAGAGTGCAGCGATCTGCTGGGTCAGCAAGTCCACTTGTTGATGCAGCTGTGCGATCTCATCACGTCTATTCACCTCCTCTACCGAGGCTTCACGAGCACATGAACGTCTCCTTGGTGGCATGGTGAAGGAACAAACCTAGCTCTGATACCGACATAACAGAAGGTTATAGAAAAGATAAACAAATCTCACAAAAATGAAAAAACTCACAAAAAATTTTATTTCTTTCAATCAATTGTTGCCACAAAGAGCTTACAATGCTTTATATAGTGAGAACCCAAAGATAATTCAGAAAAATTAAATAATAAAAAAAATTCAAAAATGGAAAAAATCTAGATAATAACTAAAATTGAGAGTCCTAATCTTAAGTATTATCCTCCAACAAATGAAATTCAAATCCGACTTAAATTGATTGAGATAAAACCAAAACAAAAATTATCAAATAAGGAAAAACGCATAAACGAAGGAATTTGCCCAAAATTGGCCCTACGTCAGGAGCAAAGCTCCGATTCTTGTTCATTGGCATGTTTCCAATCAAATTTGACTAAAATTTTGCCAAAAAGGACAACTCCAAAATTTTTTCAAAAATCGAGAAGTTGCCTATTTCTATTTGCGTCTGTCCCATTTTTCTATAAAGTTTAATTCCTTCTGCACCACATCACACATTTACACCACCTTTTGGTTTTTGTTTCCTCCAACTGTGTTTTCCTCTCCTATTTCCGAAGAATTCAATAATGCATAAAATAATGCAACTAGGCACAATAAGCCCACATAAATCATAAAACACCTGTGAGTTACTGGGCTGAGAGTGAACATTACTCTCTCAATGCACAGAAAGATGGAGGACAAGGCCACAAATTATTTAAGACAACTCAAAATGTTGAGACAGCTTTAACTGCACTAAGACCCAATTCATAAACCCATATACAGATCAGGAAACACTAATCTCCAGTTAATTATAATTATCTGGACAGAGAAAAGATGATACTCTCCCATTTCAAAGTGAGGTAGGAGAAAAAGCTGACAAAATTATTTATATTAGTTCACAACCTGAAAGAAAGCCCAACTATACCAATACTCAATGCATTAACCGAAATAAGTAGAAAAGCTTTCTGCCTGGTATGGTGCTATCTCAATATGGGACCATAAACCGTAAACAAGTGGCATATCAAACTGCAACATTTCGGAAAATAATCTCTGAGTCTAAGTTGGTTTCAAGCTTGACCTATTTAGACCACAATAAATCTTCATAGAAAAACCCAAGAATACCCATAGATGAAAGAGTATTCCAACTTATCTTACGTTGGTTAAAGTGACTTCAGCAAATAAAAGAGAGAAATGAAAATATGCGGAGTTAAGGACAAAAACACACGGAAATAGAAAGAGAGAGGAAGAGGAGTGAGGGGGGCGGGGGGGAGAGAGGGAGTTATATACAAATTGCTTAAGCATGAATACTGGAGAAACAACTTACCAGGTTCATAACAGGGTTTCCGGAATTCACAAAGGGAAATTTATTTTCAAAATCACCATCTTCCAAGCTGGACCCTGTATCACATAAGAAATGTGTGGAAACACAGAAGTTGCTCAATGTGCACGAAGGAAAAATACTGCATAATAAAGCCCGCATTGCTACCATTTGAATTGGGATGTAATATTCCATGATCATCTTGGCTCCGTGCAATTGACAAACCAGTTATCCTTGGAACATCAATGTTTTCCAGTGAAGCACCATCTAGAGGAAGACGCACAAAATGAAGGATGCACTGTGCTTTTGACTTTGTACCAACATGCCCAGCAATTTGATTCCAGTTTTCGTTGTACATTTGCATACCCTCAAGCAGTAGTAGTGTTTCCTGGTTGCTCCAATTATCTCCATCTGCATCTCCATAACCATTTACGGAACTGACCTTCACAAAATCAAGGCTAGAGTGACCTGCAACAAATCTCCCCTCATTGAAACAATCCAAACACAACAGTGTATCAGCCTGTCAAAGATGTTGGTTAGCCACAAAAGTAATACAGCATAAATGTCGATAAATTTTTTCATCACAAACTTCAGAAACTCAAAAGGTATTTAGACTCATGGAGGACCGGGAAAAAAATGCTTTATTTATCACCTACTCCGCAAATGAATAAAAATTAGTGTATCAATACCCAGTCACTTGGCAGCAATGACTGGTAAAAATGTCATGCTTTTTATCTATTCGCCAAATATTCAAATTCTGTAATGCCTGAATCACAGAAACCTGAGTGATATTTAATTATGACAAGTTTCCATCTGGGGAAGCTGGGAGGGAATGCCTCACTCTCTCCTCAACAGCCCTAAAACTCTTAGCTTGTTGAACTATTCTTGGAAATTTTATTATGTAAATACTGTTAGCCATATATAATATCATGTATTATGGGATTTTATTGTAATTTATATTCTTACCATAGTTAGAAAACTTACCATAATTGCTGTAAATCTCATCTTTATAAGAGATGTACTCCCTCGATGGAAGGGACAATTCGAACAATTCAAAACCATTTTAACATGGTATCAGAGCCCTCCCTTTAGATTTTGCCTTCGAGTCTCGATTCACTTTTGGTGTGCTTCGGTTGAGGAATTTTGGTCTTGGGTTGCCGGCAATTTTTTGTTCACGAAAATTTTCTGGAGCAAGCTTCTCGGTCAACAAAATCGGCGATTAGAGTTGTCCTCTTGGTCGATTGATCCCACCGTTGAATTTTCTTGGCGGTGGCTCGTTGATTAGTGATTGTGCAGACATTCTTTAGCTTTCCTCTTCTCGGGCTCGACATAGTATACATTCTGTTTCGAAAAATTCTGCCGGCGACTGCGTCTCGGGTTCTCGCCGTTCGCTGTTCGAATTTTGTTTGACAGATTCTGGGATTACGTTTTCGCGCAGGTGCATCATTCTGCAGCAAGTCGTGGTCTTCCCTCTGTTGACAAGGGTAATTTTCAAATTGGCTTAGTCAAACAATCAATTTTGCAGTTTGACCATTTTTATTTACTTATTATTATTATTTTTTTATATTCACCACATTGATCTCTTGTCAATAAAAAAACAATTGTGTCCTTATTTATATTTCACAATTACAAAAATATATCAATTTTTTGAAAGACAATAATACCCTTAAAAGTTTAAATAAATTCAGTCACTTCTATATGCAAATTTCAAAATCAACTTTACTTATCAGTTTCTCCAATACAGTAAAAATGAAATTTTTTCTTCCATCTGCTAGAATATTGAAATCTCACAAAATTATCAAAGGTTCAACAAAAAAACAATACTCACAGTCGGCATTGAAAATTGGTAAGTGTAAATACGTATTTTTAAGTTTGTTTTAGTTAAATTTACTGTTTGAATCTTTAAATTTCTTTTTGACAAAGGCAGATGAATTAT